ACTTAAATCCTTATATAAGGACTCGAGTGCCGTTGTCTGAATAAATGGGGACTACACAGAGTGGTTTAAAATTAATCGAGTTGTTAGGCAAGGCTGTGTAGCATCTCTTTGGCTGTTCAACCTATTTATGGACAGCTGTTTGAACGACCTGAAAGTAGGAGAGTCTGGATTAAGGATGAATGACACAGTGATTAAAACATTGTTGTATGCCGACGACCAGGTGCTTGTTGCCTCGTCGGCCCAAGAATTACAACAAATGATCACTGCTATGAATGATGCATTTGAAAGGAAAGGTATGAAAGTAAATGTGAACAAGACGAAAGTGTTGGTGATAGAAAGAAATGAGGTGATAACAGAATGTCAGGTAATGATAGGTGATGAAAAATTGGAACAAGTGAATGAATTTGTGTATCTGGGATCACTATTTACGAGAGATGGAAAGTGTGACGGGGATATTGAAAGGAGAGTGAAAGCGGGAAATAGTGTTAATGGTGCTTTACACTCTGTCATGTCGAGTAAAATAATATCCAGCAAAGCTCGACTTGCTGTAATGCAGTGTGTATTGACACCAACGCTTATGTATGGTAGTGAATCATGGGTGTGGCAGAAGAAGCATGAAAGCAGGATTAATGCGGTGGAAATGAGAGCCCTAAGAAGTATGTGTGGACTAAAATTGAGTGATCGAGTGAAAAATAGTGTTATTAGAGAAAGGTGTGGATTGAAAGATGATGTAGTGACAAGGATTGAAAAGGGAATGTTACGCTGGTTTGGACATGTAGAAAGGATGGATGAAAGTAGAGTAACGAAAGAAGTATACAGAGCGGATATGAATGGGGCCGTCGGTAGAGGGCGCCCTAGACGGACATATAGTGACCAGATTGGCGATATATTAGAGAAGGGCCAAATTAAAAGTAACCGACGAGCATGCATGAAAAGATTGATGACTGTTAATGAAGCGAAAGAGGTATGTAAGAATCGTAGTAATTGGCGTTCCTTAGTCTCTGCCTACCCCATGGGACACAGGCGTGAAGTTATGTATGTATGTAATTATTCAATGTCAAATCTAACCCCTATCGTAGCTGTTAAAATAACATTCAGAGTACGGAATATAAAGCCAAACTCAATACCATTTAGTTCATAAATATCTACGCAATATAATGGGCGCTAGTGTGGCAACTCAAGAGTATGACATTTTACACTAATGCATGTCGTTTGGAATTTGATTCAAGAGTAAGCCGCCTGTTTGGTTGCTTCATTGGAGCCGGCCAATCAGAGCACTGAACGCGTACTCGATTCTATTAGTTTAAACGTAAAACAAGATCGTCCTAAGGCCTCCGGTACCAATGTATAGGTCACTACTGATGTGACCTCGGGCCTCGGGAATTTCGTGCAGTAAGAAACCTCACTCTCTTTAAAGGTAGGCGGCCTTTGGAGGTTTCCCTCTGAAGTAAAAAAACAAGTGTCCTTTTGGTAGCCAATTAAAAAGTTCAAATCCAATTCAAGTCGACAGCCAATAGGTACGTATATATAATGATATTATTGTGTTTGCTAAATAAAGTTTATTATACCTATGCCTTAGCACATTGCGTGTCCGTGTCAAGGAAACTTGATTTTAAATTGACTTTTATCCAAATACTCAAACGCTACTGAATTTTAGTCGCGTTTAAGTATAGTTCTGTCTTATCTAAAAATTTGTAGAGTAGGCTGCGCGACATCGCCGCGACCGCGAACGTTGCTCACGAGGAAGAACCCCTCTGTGGTTCGAAACTAGTAGAACTTTTCTCAATTTAATTCAATAAGCGGAACGGCAAATAGATTTTAAAAAACTCGATTTCCCTTAGACCACTGAATTAGTTGCAATGTGGTTTTTGATAAGGCTAGTTCCCACTTAGGTATGTAACTACCAAAATTCAGTCATTCGTGTTCTGCAATAATCAAGAATAATTATTTTATAACTGTATAAATAAATAGCTTATTAGATTAATCCAGCTTAGTCAATTACCTAGGTACTTATTAGTTTTTTATGAATGTAGTGGTCTCGTTTATTCGTCGTAGGTCCACAATCACTCAATCCGTTAATCTATACATGTGTTTTATGATTCGATAATTGACTAATGAGTTAGATAAGCGTCGATCTCAAAATCTAACAACGTCGACGTAGAGATTACGATCACCACGCATTTGCATAATTTTGAAGAATGCTTTGTTTAAAATTCATTTTGAAAAATATAGATTACGCATTTACTTACCTAAGTATATTTGATAACTTTACAAGAAATGAATACATATTATTACATACATACCTATTTTCGCGTGAATCGTCATAATGATACGGGGAACTTCATAAGGATTGTTTGCCTTTATAAACTGTATACTAACATAAATTATTATGTTTTCGTCTTACTTACGTAATTGTTTGACGAGGAACTCGACTAGCAGCGTCGCGGGTCGCGAAATGCTGCTCATGAATATGAATCTCTAGCATGGCTTGAAACTAGTCGAGTTCCTCGTCAAATAATTACGTAAATAAGCCGAAAACATAATTATATATTTAGTATGTGACACGAAAGTTATAATACAAAATATATATTAACATACACATAGTTTGGTAGCTGGGGTGTCGTAAATAATTAAGATAAACAATAATAAAATTCTCTAATGCAATATACTTTGATAAAATATCTACAAAATTCGGTAAGTATAAGTAACTGGCGATTAACTCCAATTAGACAAATTACTTCTCTGTTCTGAACATAAAATGTGTTCACGTTTAACTGTCTTTCCTTAGTTTCGACGAGGTCAGCCCATCAGGAGGAGTATGTCAGCCAGAAGTAGCTGCTTGCATTGGGGGCTTCGCCCGTCTCTACACGGCCATAAAACAAGCGAGGGAGGTGGAACCTGACTCCCTGCTCCTGAATGGAGGAGACACCTTCCAGGGCACCATCTGGTACAACTTCCTCAGGTGGAATGTCAGCCAGCACTTCATGAATATGTTGCCCCATGACGCTCATGTAAGTCTTCTGTTTTCTCTCTTCTCTTAGTCTTTTGTTTGGTGGTTCTGAACTTAGATAAAGATAAAGACATGACATCATCACGCCTTTTATCCCCGAAGGAGTAGGCAGAGGTGCACATTACGGCACTTAATGCCTCTGACAATGTAACATCCTCTTTTCACTATTTATGTTATGAGTCCCATGTAATAGAGAGAATAGAACGTGAGCCTATTGCCATATACCAGGCACAATTCCAGACTCCGTGCTACCACTGACATTTACAAAAAAACCATTGTTCCTACTTTGAACGACTCGGTATCATACCCGAGACCCCTTGCCCGGAAGTCGCACTTGCGACCACTCGTCCAACGAGGCAGTCAGCTACTCGGCCAACGAGAAAGATAAAGATATATTTAAGTATATTTATTTGTATAAACATGTGTAGGTAAATATGCCAATGCAGATGGTAAATGATGGTAGGTACCTACTTAACATTATGGGAACGTCATAATTTTAAAGTTCTGATTATGAATACGAGGTTTTAGTAGGAACTTGATTCCGTAATCAGTCGATTTTAAAGTTAAGAAAAATAGTAACATGAATATGAACATAACATCACGCCTTTTATCCCCGAGGGGTTAGGCAGAGGTGTACATTATGCCACTGTACAATGTAACACCCACTTTTCACTCGTCTTCTTGCCCGGCAGTTGCACTTGCGACCACTCGGCCAACGAGACAGGCAGAAAAAATAAATAGTTTTATACTTTTGAAGTTACGTCTCGGATTGAATTTCCGGGCCATCGGCAGTTCCTCGTGCTTGTACAACCAGATATATAGGGTATTTAGTAAATTTTCCATGTAATTGTTGTCTTTCATCTAGTTAGTTATTATCAGTACAGGTACAAGCAGTCAAGGACACTAATGAATCAAAAGCATAATTATGGTATCATGATTACGTCTGTTACGTATAGGTAAAATACGTGTTTACGTACGTGCTTACAGACATTTCTACTGATACAAATTATTTTGATTTAACACAAATAGGTTTGTTTAAGCCTCTATCTAACCAATTACGTACTATTCCCTGTAGGTACTAGGTAATCACGAGTTCGACCACGGCGTGACCGGTCTAGTGCCTTACCTGGAACGTCTGAACGCGCCCATGCTTGGTGCCAACGTGAACACGCAGTTGGAACCGACGATGACACCCTACATTAAGAACCACATCATCGTCGAGAAGAAGAATCGGAGGATTGGTATCATTGGAGTGTTGCTGCAACAGGTATGATGTTTCTTTGGTTTTATGACCACTGCCAGTTTACAATACACATTAGCTTCATATGAAATATCACCGGCGACGTACCTGTGACTTTTTTTGAGGGGGAACATCATCTAATGACTTCTCTTACCCGGGTGAGGCGAGAAGAAGTGTCAGACTCTTACTGACTAAAAACCACCCCGTTCCTACTCCTGCACTTCGAGCCGGAGCCCCAGCAAGACGTTAAGTCCTCCGCGGCTCCGTATCGGCATCAGCCCTGTTGTGCCCCATCTGTGGTGGTCTGACGACTCCTTGAGGCGCGGGCGGATCGCGACGCGCCGTATACTTAGGTCTGGTTCTGGTCGGGCGGCGAGTCACCCGGCCGGAAATCGTCTTGCGGTCCCCGACGCCCGGACGCGCCTGTGACTGGTCTGGTGTTGCGTGCATCCATTGGCGGCGGTGATCGCTGACCATTGGGTGATCCGCCTGCTCGTTTGCCTCCTATTCCTTAAAAAATGCATCGTTGTTAACTTATGTTCTCTGTAACCTGTGACTCCCACAAGGGTTCTTTAACACATTAAACGCTATGGGGTCAGTGACTGACGTTAGCGAAGAATTTATCTTCAACCGCCGAGGCGCCGAGGCGTCTATTTTTTTTAAGTTCAAATCAACATATCTATTTTTAAGTTTTTGAATATGTACTAACTTACCTAAATATTATTTAGAATAGTTGTTTCGTGTGATGCCTACCTACAAGTTTATGTTTATTGTTACAGTTCTCAGCTGATATCGGTAACGTAAAGATGGAAGATGAGCTGGAGGCCATAAACCGTGAGGCGGCCATACTGACAGCGGAGGGAGTCGACATCATAATAGTGCTGTCCCACGTCGGATACTCCAGTGATATGTTAGTATTATAACTTGTATTGTGCTAATTTAAATTTTATTATGATGCAATAATGTTGCATCGCGTGCTTCTATGACATTACGTGATCTATGACATTACGTGAAAAATAAATCACGTCACGCGGGCGCCCGCGCCGCGCGCATGCCTAACGCAACACACAGCCGAACCGTTAGGCAGATCCACTTAACTCTCAAACAATGTAGAGATTATAAATATATAAATATATAAAAATAAAATTTTTATTCATAATAACACTGGTCAACATAGGTACAATAATATCTTAATTAAGCGACAAGATCTTAAAAATAATATGCCTATACCTACTAGGAATATACCTGTGTCACAGGCGACAGTAGCTCTACAAATATGTTAATGATAAGACACTTATAGTATATTTAAAATTATTGAAACAATTTTCAAAAGTAAAGTATATAGGATTGTTTAATATACTACACTACATACACACATACTTATAATAAAATCACGCTTTTTATTCCCTGAAGGAGAATAAAAGGTGAACCTACGTAATACATTAGTAAGCTATATTTATGTATAAACTAGATAATATTATATATTACTATGCTATCAATTATTTTTGAACGTCTGCAGAAACACAAGGTCAGAGTCTATACGGTTACTCAAGACTGTCTTTTACGTTAAATTATTGCAAGAACCAATGCCGAATAATATCTCAATTGCTCGGAAAAATAACGTCTAATGTGTGACAACACTTGCACCCATTATACATGATCTACCATTTTTAACATACCTAACTTTTGAAAAGCTAATAATCGTCTAGAATTTGTCCTGTAAAATTTTGTAAATCGATAATTTTTACCGACTACAAAATAAATGAGGAATAATTTTGAATAGAACTTATGGCGCCGACGTTTAACCTATCAGTGAGTGGGTAACCTTAATAATAGTTATTTTTTGCTTTTTAGTTTTGACTTTTTGTTTGTTTTTAGTTTTTGGTTTTTTGAAGTCGGTTTTTTAAACGGTTTTTATCTTAAGGTGGTTAGCAGAGCGCGTATCCCCAACAGTGGACATTATAGTGGGCGGCCACTCCCACACACTGCTGTACACGGGGCCCACGCCCAACGGTGACACCGCGCTGGGAGAGTACCCCACTGTCGTACAACAAGCTAATGGACATCGGGTGAATATTTTCTTTTTATTTATACCATTTTTTAACAAAGAAAACGGCGGAACGCCACCTCTTCATGGTACATTTCTCACCCATTCGCACCAAGCCTTTCGCCTCAAATTTTATTATAAAATACCTAAACAATCTTTTAACTAACAGATACTTAGCATGTTACACCTAAACTAAACCATAAGCTATCCTAATCCTCTTTTAAATTTTAAAGAATCACTATCTTTAACATTTAAGAGAGGATGGTGTAAACGGTTATCTGAAAGAAAGAATAAAAGAAAAATTGTTTATTTGCACACCGTCACAAAGTACAATAACAAACAAAATATATATATATCTGTATACATATGTCTGTACATACAATTGTTTTAAAAATGATTGATTCACTTATAACAAGCCTTTTCTATACTGTTTCAGATCCCGATAGTGCAAGCTTCGTGCTACACGCGGTACTTGGGTAACATCAAATTCTTCATCAACGCACAGGGCATCGTCGAGCGGTGGCAGGGAGAACCCGTCTTCCTCGGCTCTTCTATCGTGAAAGGTAACGCACTATTATTGTGGGTACGTTTCGTAGTATAGACCTATGATTTTTTTATTAGTTTATCCATATTTTTTATGTGTGTAACCGGTAAAGGAGAAGAATGAATTTGTCGTCACCTTGAGCTGTAGTAATATCTTCAGGGATTACACAATTGACAAAAGCTAATCCGGTCAGTAGACCATAGTAGACCATACCAAAACTAGTGGATTGGGGACATTGGATTCTCTAAAAGTTAGATTATTGTATCAACTCATGAAGAACAGGGCATCCAGTTCCAGTGAAACATTTTAATTACATTGGCATTTAGAACACATCATGTGATTCAATTATTATTTTTAACGAGCTGATCCGGTAACCTTTGCTACTACCGCCTATTATTTCTCACCGTTTAAATCTTCTCTAGACTTCCACGAATATTTCAAGACCATCATTATCCAAATCGATTCATCTGTTATCGAGTTTTAGCGAGACTAACGAAAGGAAATTCATTTTTATTTGTATATTAGATTACATTATTATTGACCATTTGTCTATCCTTCCCGATCACTCTAGCGCCCCGAAAGCTATGCATGCGCTTGTAACTACTCCGGTGTTGGGAATATCTATGAGCATTGTTGATTACTCATCATCACGTGATCGGTCTGCTCGTTTACCCTATCCCATATAATTACATTAAGTAACCCCTGGTAAACCGGAAAGTAGATATACGCGAGACACAATGTGTTTTCTATTGTCTCACATGCCTATAGATAAGAGGTTAATTTCAATTCATAGATGAAAGAATTATGAAGCTATTGGAGCCATGGCGTAGTGAAGTAGACGCAGAGGGCAAGGAAGTGTTGGGAGAGACGCGTGTGTCACTGACTCGCTCGCGGTGCTCCAGGGACGAGTGCAACCTCGGGAGCTGGGCCTGCGACGGATTTCTTGAAGAGGTAACGCCTGCTTTACTATGTATAGGTAATAATATGAGTAATAGAGAAAGTGCGTTACAACTATAGTAGGGTACCTACTAAAGCATACACTTGCACATTACATTGTGTATTAAAAATGATACACACGGCCCACAAAATAATATACCATCAGAAAAATACATATATCTCGTGGGACAGTGTATCATTTTTAATACACGCTCCTAAAATCCTGAAAAATAAAAGGGGAGATGGCTGATGAGACAAAATAGTAATAAATATCATTAAAAAGCATATAAGGGAGAAAAAACAAACATATGTAAACTGAGGTTTGGGCGATTAAGGCTTGGCGGTGAAGGTGTTAAACTTTTTTATACCGCGCCCCTTAAGTAAGCGTGCAGTCTAGTCGGTCCGAATTATAAACCTTATTGTGAATGCTATTTCCGAGTGATTTCGTCTACCGCTCACCTCTGCGTAGCGCTGATGTGTTATGCTCTTGTTAAATTCAAAGATAATAATTGACGATCAAGCTTAACGCATTCGAACGAACAAAATCTTTTAGTTCTCAGGTACTAGCTGACTCGGCAAATTTCGTATCGCCTAAATATTTCTTCTCATCTATTAAGCGTTCCCTGGACTTCCACTAACATTTCGAAACCAAAATTAGCCAAATTGGTTCAGCCGTTCTCGAGTTTTAGTGTGACTAACGAACGGAAATTCATTTTTATTTATATAGATTAATTTGTTAGTAAAATTCACAATCCCTTCTGTCCGGCTCTCAGTTTTCACGTGGAAATAGTACTTGCTGTATCATAAACTGAAATAGGTTCCTTACCTGTTATTTATACTGGCATTTTTTTTTAAAGAACGTGTTGCCCCACACTAGGATTTTCTCCTGTGTCGTGGGTGCGTTTACAAACATACAAGTTCACATACACATGACACCCAGACCTGGAACAATAATCTGTGGATCACACAAAGAGTTGTTCCGTGCGGGAATCGAACTCGCGACACGTTGACTGGCAGCCAGTTGCCCAGCCACCGCGCCAACCGAGCAGTTAAATAGTAGTACAATCTTAAAAATGTATTATTTAATTACAGATGATACCTTTCGCTCGGGGCTCGAATTGGAACCACGCTCATGTTTGCCTGATCAACACTGGAGGACTCAGAAACCAAATCACCGCTGGAAGTAAGTACCAGTACTAGAAGTACTTGGCCTCGGTGGGCGTTTGCAAACAGGTTACTATACCTGAAGAATAGTCGCGGAAAACCTAACGGGTAACCGGGGCTCCGGCTCGACGTGCAGGAGAAGGAACGGGGTGGTTTTTAGTCAGTAAGAGTCTGACACTCCCTCTCGTCTCACCCAGGCGGGAGCAGTCATTCGATGATTTTCCCCCTTAAAAAAAGTACCTGAAGGATTGGCCGTTATAGCTCGCAAACAACATAAAATGATTGCCTCGTTTGCCGTGTGATCGCGGGTTCAATTCCCAGATGGGTCAAAATATTACTGGGTTTTAAAAAAATCTTAGTAATAGCACGGAGTCTGGTATTGTGCCCGGTATATGGTAATAGGTTCACTCCCTATTACATTGTACTCATAACATAAAATAGTGAAAAGTGGGTGTTATATTGTACAGTGGAATTAAATGCCGTAATATATGCACCTCTGCCTATCCCTTCGGGGATAAAAGGCGTGATGTTATGTTACGATTTTATGCAAAATATTAGGTACTTATTAATCAGTCGAAAGTAAAATTAATTAATAACACACAATAAACCGATATCTCCAACTTAAATACTCTCCCTCGTTGCTCAAGCAGTATTTTAAATTAGATCGTGGCTTACTCTTGACTCCCATTCCGATCGATCGACATTGGTATTGTGAAATTTCGTAATCTTGAGTTGCAACACTAGCGCCCATTTCATTCGTATTGCGTGGATATTTAATGAACTAAATGGTATTGAGTTTGGCTTTATATTCCGTATTCAAAATTCTACTTTAATAGCTACGATTGGGGTTGTATAGTTTTGACATTGGATAATTATTGAGATTTTATTGGATTGAAATTGCATTGACATTGAGATTGGTTTCAAGAGTAAGCACCGAGGTTGGAGGATATTCTGAAATCTTCATTAACATTTCCTTTGACTGCCGACAGAAAACTTTTGAAGGTACATCCTCCACTAAGCTTCAGTCACCAGTGACCACCAATTAATGTGTTAACACATACCATAACTGGAAAAAGCGGACAATGATAATGACGAATAATAGATGAACATTAATATTCCTTACTAATATAATAAATTGGAAAGTGAGTTTGTTTGTTTGTTCCGCTTTCACGCCGTAACTACTAAACCAATTGCTTTGAATTTTTGCAGACGTAAAGTTAGAAGTCTGGATTAAATAATAGAGTTTTTTTTTTAAAAAAAAACGTTGCCCCACATTTGGATTTTCTCCTGTGTCGTGGGTGCGTTTACAAACATACAAGTTAACATACACATGACACCCAGACCCACATAATGTGGGGCAACCCTAAAAAAAAAAAACATAGAGTACTTTTTATCCCGGAAAGAATTGATATTCCCGAGGGAAAACAAAAGTATTGGTATAGACGGCGCTGTGTGTATTGGTATATGTCACATAGGCTACTTTTTATCCTTTTGTGACGCGAGCGAAGCCGTGGGTAAAAGCTAGTTTAAATATATTTTGCCCTGCAGACGTGACGACAGAAGCGCTGTTGATGGCGATGCCGTTTGAGAACCAGATACAAGTATACGAGCTGGAGGGCCGGTACTTGCAGGAGGCGCTGGAGTTCTCCGTCGGAGTCAACTGGAGCGACAGCTTCAGTAGTGGACGCATGCTGCAGATTGGAGGTAGGGACACTGAATACTTTATTTTTGTAGTAGCTTCTGACAACGGCTCCCCTTGCATTCGCATTGAATTTAAAATCTTCATGTTTTTTTTGTAGAACATAGTCTACCCCAGTCCCAAACGTCATCCCGAACCCTTTAACCGTTTGGAAAGGATTGAGTAACAACCACACACACAATGTTTCGCATTTATAATACTAAGTAAGATAGGCGTTTGTCATATCGGTCAGCAAACGAGATGATGGTAAGCTATCAGCGCCGCGCATGGCATGGCGACACCAGAGATTTTCACATTTTCTGTAATATTTAAGACACATAATTACATAATTTGGGCATTCATTATTTATCAATCCTTTAAAAATGTTACTAGAAAAGTAAGTTTCTAATTCTTTTATTTATTAACAATTATCAGGGGTGCCTGTGTTCCGGTCGCTTTGCCACTAGGCAGTGAAACTAGTAACATAACATAACATCACGCCTGTCTTCCCTGCGTGTGTAATGGCACATTACGGCACTTAATGCCACTGTACAATGTAACACCCAGTGAAACTAGTTTGCTAATAAAATGTAACATTTGCACTTGCAGGTATGCGCAATATAATCCACGCGTCGAACCCGATAGGTTCACGAGTGACTGCGACAGTGCGTTGTATAGACTGCGATGTCCCGCGATACTTGCCGCTCGACCCCAACGCCACCTACCGGGTGCTGACGCAAAACTACATCGGCGACGGTGGCGGTGGATACTCGGTACGTTATTATTTAATAATTATTTGTAAACATATTGTTTCATTTCTGTCTACAATATCTGTCTATTTCGCCATTCAGGGATAGGAGTAATATTATTGAGTACTCACCTAAAAATGTGAAGTCTCCGACTATCGAAACTGTTACGAGTATAGAGGAGAGCTTACCGAGCCTCTCTAAGACTACGCTCTCCAAAGAAAGTAGAGGCCAGCAGATCAAGCTACTTCGAACTATCAATTTTAGTTTTTGGATTTTCACCTTTATATTTACGTAATAAAGTTAAAGATGTAATAGAGAAATTTGACAAAAAAGGTCAGGTTGACCAGCTAGCCACCGTACACCGTACCGTACGTTATAGATTAATCCTCAAGCGGTCATCGGCTCCATTGAGTCCCTTATAGACCTTATTTCCGATGTTTAGAGACTACTTTTGTATGGATAAATGTTGTGCATTTTTCGTGTACATACATATGAAGTTATAGCTGCCAAGTACCAGTAGTTTCAACTATGCGTCGTTTGTCATTCAGTTACTTAGTTTTCTAAAATGAGAAGCTTTAATTGTATATAGTTCATACTAAACTGTAGAATAAAATTTGACATTTGACAGTCTTTGTCGCTTATTGTTTCATATATCATTTTCTAGATGTTATCTGAGAACAGAAAGAACATAGAGACGTTCGAAATCGACTACATGATGCTGCGGGATTACATGAGGAGACAGGGCGTCGTTACCAAGGACCTGGACGGGAGGATACAGATCGTCTACTAATATGTGATACACCTTACGTATTTTTATAATTATATCTTTATTTTTTTAATAAAATATTCATTTACCTACACGCATGTTTTTATTTTTATGATAGAGTGGATTACATTTTACTATCCCTACTTTTTCTGCGTAAGTGCTAACTGAAAGCTGAAATTAACCTCTTGACTGTATATGAGACAAAATAGAAAATTGTGTGTCTCGCGTAGATCTCCGTTCGCATACCACGGGTTAATAAACCGATTTGTCCAAAATGTTTGGATTTGGATCGACCTTTGGTATTATTTTATGTAGTTCTATAGTTTGTGTAATGTCCGGTGGCCGGAGGTTAAGATGCCTGCTTCTCATGCATGAGGGTGAGCGTTCGAAACCTACCGACGGCAAGTACCAATGTGACTTTTTCCGAGTTATACATATGTACTTTCTAAGATTATTTACACATCACTGACAAACGGTGGAGGAAAACATCGTGAGGAAACCTGAACTTATTCTAATTATTAGTTTTAAATCCCCAACCCGCAATAAGCAAGCGTGGTAATTAATGCTTAAATTTGCACCGTGTTATAAGAGGGCTATGCTCAGCAGTGGGCACTTGTAGGCTATTGATGATGATGATTCTGTAAAAAATCAACATCGATCTGGAGATTATGGAATGAGATCGATTATTAAAATCGGTAAGGGATTTGCGAGAAATCCGGTAACAACGCTCTGTGCAACCTGAACCTTTTATATCCAAATACTGAAAGGCTAATCAAATTTTAAGTCGCGGTTAGCAATAGTTCTGTCAAAAAAACATAAAGGCAGAAAGAGATGGCACGATATTTAAATGCAACTTAAAATTGAGTAGCCTTTCAGTATTCGGGACTTAGATTGCAATCTCCAGTTACCGAGGCTATGGCTAACTACTATAATTGGGTCATCCCAATGACTCATCACAGAAAGGGTATGAAAATTAAAAATATAATTAGTCCGTAAGTAAGGTAATGAAAAAATATTAGACACGTATTTTTTTATTTTGTCGTATAATAAAACAATACTTAGATAAAACGAATCAAGGTTTAGGAGTGGGGGCTAAAACGTCATTTCTACATATAAAATGTACATAGAAATGACGTCACGCGACATTTCAAATCAATATATCGTCTAAAGTATTCGTTTCTGTAAGAAAATAAGAAATACGTGTCTAATGATTTAAAATAATCTACCAGACGGTCATTAAAATAAAAATTAAGCATCTACCCTATTATTTAGAGGTCCATTGTTTGCGGCTCTTGATGATAATATAATGAACTATGAAGTCCATCCTAATTGCTTCAAGCTACGAGCACAGCCACAGGCGGTAAGCCAGTGTACAAAATGAAATAAAACAACAAAGTAGTGTCCTAATGAGACTATTTTATTAACACTATAATCAATAAATTTGACAGTCATTCTTTATTTCATAAATATTTTACGAATATCCAACATAGCCGCGGAGTAGACATGTTAAGTACAATATTTACAAAATTATTTCTTTTAAAATAACTTTAACAAAACCCAACGCTAATTACAGTTGCTTCAACAGATTCTGGTGTCTATTGCACTCGAAATAAGGGGTAAAATCCCTGTAGAAAATCAATATAACAATCAAGTCAACAATATTCATCTTTAAGTCAAAGTTATAAGGCTGAAAATCGGTTAAAAAACTGTAAAATACGTTCGTTAAATGTGTAATGTTATTTTAAACACAGTATTTAATAATATATAGGTTGACATTTATAAACCACTACACAATTCATTACATTGCTGTCCCTTTCGCACTCATCTTAAATGCGAATGTTAGAATGAGATAATGATATTAAAAGCTAGAATGAGATACAAATCTGTTAAAGATGTAGATTAATATTTATTTCTATCCTTTTCTTATATATGTAAGGTGCCTGTTATGCGAGAGAGACAGACTAGTAAAACTGCAGTATTTCCTATTACCGCCGAACTTAGTCATTTAACCTGTGAAGTGTGGGACCGCAGACACAATGTGTGTTCTACTGTGTCTCATATATGGACAGACAAGAGGTTAATGGTCACTTAACCCAGAGTGCCAAGCACGAATAACTATCGCATTCGTAACGTAATAGTATCGAGCGCGTTCGGCGCTCTGATTGGCCGGCTCAAGTGAATCAACCAATCAGAACGCTTAACTCGTTCGATACTGTTACGATACGAATGCGATAGTTATTCGTGCTTGGCCCTCTGTTCTTAGCAAATTGTGTTCGTAACAAAATCGTTACGAAGGAATTGTTTAAGTAATCACTAAAAATATCTGGGTACGGCAAATCTTATATCTTATACTATTATATAAAGCGGGGTTTTATGTTTGTTTAACGCGCTAATCTCCGTAACTACAAGTCTGATTTGAATAATTCTTTTTGTGTTGGATAGCGCATTTATCGAGGATTGCTATACGCTAGAAAACATCACGCTACGACCAATAAGAGCTGAGCAGAGCGTGTGAAATTGCGCGGAAATAGCTAGTAATTTAATAAATGTCAACCTTGATCCAAAGTTTTGAAATGTGACCAATGCAAAAAATAGCTTTTGATTGGGATATTCCTCTCAATCCACTAATAAAAATAGGTCACATATCAAATCTCTGGGATACACATTTATATGTAATTTGAGTTTTTATATATTATGTTAGTATTACGTATCTATTACATTTTTATATACAATACTATGTACGTTAATACCTAACGCCTTAATTACACTTTTATTTTTATTAAAATATAGCGATTATATATAATATAAAGATTGGTAAAATTAACGATACTGTACAAGCTTTGGTGGCGAAGACAAGCCGAATGAGTTCTAAGTTTTTTTTTATCTGATTGTCTGGACATTTTGTCATTAATGTGTCATTAATGGCTATGGTTATAGACAAGTTACTTTGCGCATTTTTATTGCCATATTATATTGTTGTTTTAATTTTAATAACAGTAAAAGAAAGGTCAATTTACAGCGCATGCAGTTTTTTAGTGCACTATAATATCTCCTGCGTAGTGGGCTTAGTCTAGACTGACTGTAATGAAAATCAATCAGGAGTCTCAACTTAGTTGTTTTTTACTTGGTCATTTAGTTTTATCTTTTTAAATTCTTATTCATGCAATAGTGGTATACCATCATACTCTGTCATGTTCGATATCCCTGTAAGATCCCGTTTATAAAGAAAATAAGATTAATTTATAAAATAATTTGAAGCTGATGTAAAAGTAAATATTCCAAAATCCATAGATGTATCGATGATAGTTACAAAAAAAAAAGAAAATTGTAAAACAAGGTGAAAGGCAGAAATAGAAAAATCGGACGGAATTAAATTACAAAAGTATAAAAGAAGAAAATCTTAAATGTCAAATAGGACACCAAGCACATCAAGCTACCCTAAAATGTCTAAATTCATCAATAAAAATCAACTTTCTTACAACGCAATAAGATCGAAAATGTATTTAAGATGGGTAGCGAGATGTACTGGCATCTATTTTAAGAATTAGCTAATGAATGAAACAATGAACGACCGTCTTAACGTGTACAAAGGAACCAATCAGAATTGAGAATTATCACGCGACGCTACTGCACGTCCAATGACAGAAGTTTAAAATCACGAAGCATTGCGCAACATTATAAATAACTAAAAATATGTCAAAATTCTTGTTCAACATTCAAGTGATTAAAGCAAACTGAACCTTATTCCCTTTACATTAAACTTTATTTTTATTGGGCTTAAATATTTCTGGTTATTTGGTTAGACCAGAATTTGTGGTAGCAATAAAATGGTGTTCAAAGTCAACACTATTTGGTCAACAAAGTTTAGATGACTTTAAACATCACCAGCGCCACCTACGAAGCGCAAAAACGAGATTGGAACTTAATAGTGACATTTTATACATAGTGGCCTTTCGCACCCGAGTTTTGGTACCTCAGCATTGTCCAAATTCGATTTTCGGTATGTTTATGAATGGCAGCTCCACTTTGAAGGCATTTATGTCTCTGATGAAGTCTGCATTGTTCTCGATGGTGTCTCCTATTGGTTCGCTTGCGTCCAAGTACGTGAGCTCGTAGTGCTTCGGGTGCAAATTTGGTGTGGTCGTATTGTCCTTGTTGGATTTGTGACCCATTATCTGTTGAAAAATTAAACGTATGATGTTTTGGTATTGAAAACTTTATGATAGGAATCGAATCTTACTTATATTATATATGCGACAGTTTGAGTTTGTGTACTTTTGTTACTCAAGTACATCAATGACCTAAAATGTGAGCGCGCAGTGATTTATGTAAAGTCTTGTATCTTGCTTCATATCTATTTTATTATAAAGTTCGGTGTCAGATGAAAGAGGAGATGAAGATCAAATTACAAAAGTTGATTCAATCTATGGTGTGGATCTGGTCTTCGTATATTTCGTAACTTCTGAAGAGATCGGGATGATATTTAGAACGTGGGTAGATTTTGTTCTGCATTAACACAAAGGCTACTTTTTATCCCACGGGAACGCGGGCGAAGTCACTAGCAGAAGGTAGTGCATGAATACATTTGGTTGGTGTAGTGGATGGCCAACTGGATGACGCGCGATGTTTTGATTTTTGGAAAATTGGGTACTTTCCTTAGTAAAAATTAATTATTTCGACTGTTCAATACAATAAAATATTAAAAAATAATCACACTTTTATTAACACTTTTGTGACCCGACTTAATTTTAGTATTTATGCAGCAAATATTTAAGAAATAAGTATGCTGTTTGACGCTAAAAATCCGTGAAGCCACAATACACAATCGCGTACAACATTCATAGAAAACTGTCGTTTTTGACAGTCCGAAAAAAAAAAATTTGAATTTGACTAGTTGGCAAGTACCCATTTCTTTATGTTATCCACAAATTGTTCCAGGTTTGGGCGTGATATATATGTATGTGAATTTGTATATTTATAAACACACCTGTATGTACACCTGAGAAAATTCTAGTGTGTACCCCATGATTAATATTTGTTAAAGGGTAGTAATAAAAGCTCCGTTAAGAAAAGAAGAATTATCCTTACTGAAAATATTAAATCTACTGCCTAAAATATTAACTTTCCGACTACTTAACGTGGCTGTTTATTGCTACAATACTAACCTAACCTAACCTAAATCGTCTGTTGTCGGTAACTTAGTAATTTTGTCGGAGATTCAATATTCTATTCGGAAGTTTAGTTTTGTTATTCGAAGATCCATTTTTATAGTCGGCAACAGATCGCCGGAGATTAATTTGTTGTTCGGAACCATTATTATTTTTCTTTGTGAAATAGTTATCGTAACTATACAAAGATTGTTCTTTAGTGCAAATGTTTGGTAAAGACTTCGAAATAACATTTACCTGTACAGATAGCTTCCTGAATTTGGACTTGTTGCCTGTCGGGAAGTAGTCGTCGACCCAGGTCTTGATGTCGACTAGCTTGATCTTCTCAATGGCGTCAGCCTGTCAAAACAGAATATTTAAATATCGAATCATGTAGTTTGAAGGGAATGGTGACAACTTTGCTCTGTGTATGACCAAGACTCGATCTATTCTTTCGTAGAATAATGAGCTTAATTATTATTATAATAAGTCTACATATTTACGTTAAATATAATGTTGACTTACCTCCAAGAACAGTCTGTGGAACATGTATTCCCTGCTGACAATCTCTCGCCAATTCCTCTCAACCTGTAAATAATATTAGTATTATACACGGACCAATAATTGTCAAACAGTCTGTCTAGTAATAAATTAATTTCAAATACTGAACACGTTTTAGTTAGTTTTCTACAATAAAAACCAACGATACAGTGAACATAAAATATGTATATTCTAAAGCAATATAATACAGCGAGCAGCTAGTTAATCTACTTTTTTCTATAAATTTCTTTATTACATTTTCAACTGTATCGTTTAGAAGTTAAGTCGAAAATCCAAAGACAAAAAATTACACATTGAAGTAGGTTGATGTGCTGGCAACTGTATAAGTAAGTAAGTATATTATGAGAGTATGTAGTAGAGTAACGAAAGAAGTATACAGAGCGGATATGAATGAGACCGCCCGTAGAGGGCGACTTAGACGGACATATAATGACCAGATTGGCGATATATTAAAGAAGGGCCAAATTAAAAGTACCCTTAACCGAATCGTTCGATAGTCTCTGCCTACCCCCATGGAAGATAGGCGTGAAGTTATGTGTGTATATTATGAGCGAGTACCTCCTCCTTGAGTTCATAGTCAGTGGTATGTTTGAGTTGTACGAGCGAGTGCTTGGTGGCGGAGAGCGTCTTCTCGGTCAGTCGTCGCATGTCGCGGGCGAACTTCTTCAGGAACGCTTCCACGCGACCGTCCACGTGTGAGACGCTGGGAATAACATACTTGATTACTTTTGTGATATGACTAAAGTGCAGGTAGCTGATGTACTAAGGAACAAAATAGGCTATTTTTATTTTGGAAAAATGGCACAAAAAACAGTTCAATCATTCATATCCTACGCGGCCAAAGACGCAGGAAACAGCAAATATTCAACAAAAACAAAGATATAGAAGTAATTACCTGAACTTATCAACCTGTGTGTTGACAGTAACTGAGAAGCCGAGCACTCCGAACGTATACCGCATTATACTGAACACGCTGTACCCGAGCTGCTCCTTCGTACGGAGCGCGTCGAATACTGGCTCCTCCATCAATAACTGCCATAGAGGAAAATATTGTCAATAGTGAGAAAATAGTATATTAACCTATTTGCCATATTCTTATTATGAATATTTCTTCCTTACCATGAGCACTTCTAATGTAGCAGTGTCTTTAGGATTGGTGGCGTCTCCCTGGTAGTAGTTGGTGATGATACTGTTTGTTGAAGCCTCATTCAGGCTCATCACACGGATCTTACGCTCGCCCAGAGGTAATTGGTGTACTTTCACCTAGGAAAATAGTACATTAGAAACGTAACATTACAATATTTTAATCGCAGAAGGTAAGCAGAGTAACGTTTATTAATATTGACATCTACTAATTTTATGTAATAGAGGGCGAGGCCATTATTATTATAATAGGGACAATTCGAAGCATTGTGTAATGGTAGTGTTAATAGAACTGGGTACGACAGCTCAGAGGCCTTAGTACGAGTTTGTTTTACGTGTAAAGTAATCGTAACGAGTACGCGTTCAGCGTTTTGATTGGTTGCTTCATTGGGGCCGGCCAATCACAGCGCCGAACGCGTACTCGTTTCGAATACTTTAAACGTAAATCAAACTCGTACTAAGGCCTCTGATAACGAGGTAAATAAAAATATTTATAAAGCTAAAGAGTTATGTTTGAACGCGCCAACATCAGAAGCTACTGGCCGGATTTTAAAAATTCTATTTTTATTGGATAGGCCATCTATCGAGGAAGGTTATAGGCTACAAAACATCACGCTACGATCAAAATAAGCCGAGCAGAACGAGTAAAACCGCGTGGAAGTAGCTATAGGTCTATACAATAATTTCTGTGAGTAAATGCGCTGTACATTTACTACGACCAAGTTTATAATAAATATATTATATAAATGTTATAGAGCTAAATACTGCGCAGGCGGCTTGCCATTGGCTCTCCAAAGGCACGCCGCTGAGCTCGGTTTTCGTCTACGTCCAGCAATGGACGAACACGGGCTGATGATGATGTATGTACTTACATCGGGGAACTCTTCCTCGGTGAGTGCGTTCCAGTTGATGGTGGAGAGTACTTTCTCAGATATCCTGATAGCGTCGTGCCACGCCAAGTTACCTTGCATTAGGATCTGTAAATGTTGAAATAAGATTGTTACGTTTATTAATACACAACATAACATCCCCGAAGGGATAGGCAGAGGTGCACATTATGGCACTTAATGCCACTGTACAATGTGGGGGGTTAGCTTATTGCTCCCCATTGCAAGATATTAAAAAAATATTAAACACGTATTTACTACGTACGTATTTTTATTATAATCTACCAGGCGGGTACTTAAATAAAAATCTGTCATCTAGTCTATTCCAGACCCATGCTACTACTAAGATTTTTTTACAAAAAAAGCCCAGTAATACTACAACCCGATAATCGAACCCGAGACCCCTTGCTGGCAGTCGGGCTTGCGACCACTCGGCCAACGAGGCAGTCGAAGTTTATTAATGGCACTGCTTTAAACTGTCAAACACCAAGCGGTCACCGGTGACCGCAACCTATTGTTCTATAATTTTGTCTGCAAAACCGGTACTCGACGAGTTAAATTGAATCTATTCATATAAAATAAATTGGTTGTTATCGTAGAAGTAATCTTAGTAACCTCGTACCTGGCAATACATTTTGTCCAGCAGCCTGTCGCTGAAGTCGTTGAGTTCCTCCAGAGTGATGTTGTGTATGACGGCCGCCTTGTCGCGCGGCGACACGTACGGCATCAGCAGTATGTTCATGCGGACGTCTCTGTACACCAACACCACTTTGTTACTACTGTGGCCACACAGGACACGTGTCCAATGACATATGGACTATCGATGAAAACAATTCAACGGATGACGTCACAATAGCTTGCAGCTCGCCGGACTCACCTGGCTACAGCGCGGCTCATACCGACACAAACCACCGAACACGACTCTGCATACGGCCCCTTGCGGGGTCATTTTTATGCGAAATTTTTTTTAATATATTCTTTTTTTATTTTAGACTCGTTGCCTCACACTAGGATTATCTCCTGTGACGTGGGTGCGTTTACAAACATACGAGTTCACATACACATGACACCCAGACCCGAAACAACAATTTGTGGATCACACAAAGTGTTGTTCCGTGCGGGAATCGAACCCGCGACACGTTGCACGACACCCGGTTGCTCAGCCACCATGTATATTTATCATTCTATGTATATGTATCCGGAATCAGCGATTTTTTCTCCATCGAATCGAATGATGTATGTAACTCAATATCGCAAAGAATAACGTCTAGATCAATTAGCCTGTCGATATGAAGTTTTCTACAATAACTTACTTGGCTAATTTGTGCGGTTTGATGAGTACGTTGTGGTAGGCCCGCGACCGAACTTCCCGCACCGCCTCGAACATTGCGGTCGTTAAATTCTTCGTCGACGACCGCATCTCTCGAGTTATTAGCTCCACTAATAACTGTAAACAAAGCCAGAGTTAAATAAAAGTCGGCTCATCACGAATTATATCTATAAGCCACGCGAGTAAGCCACAATTTTCAGTTAATTTGACATACTATATTCTTCGAAACGTCTATGGGGTAAGGTTATTAACTGTGGCTAGACAAGTCATAAACCTGTTTAAAACCACAGTGATCAAAAAATTGTATTCCAAAAGACATTAATTGTTGTTCCAATGATTGAATGATTTTGAAAGATTATTCAGACAGTAGTTAAGTTGCTCTATTACAAAATAAAACTTATCGAGATAACTTACGTGTAAGTTTTGACTATACCCCGTGACTTTCATCGTGAGCCCTTTGTCTCCGACGTATAAAGAGTGGGATAAGTCAGCCATGTTGGCTGGATATACTTCTTCCTGCGAACAAAAGGAAATTAATGTTAACAAGTTTATTAAAAGCTAAAAAAATAGTACGAAGTGAAAAGAGAAAAGGATAATTAAGAATGTTTGTTAAAAATCTGAAAAATTACGAATAACGACAAATATAATATGAGTTAAAATGTTTACTGAAAGGGAATTACTAAATCGGTTGGATAAAATAAAACAAGATGTGCTGATTACCTTGAGTCCTTGCTGTAAAACGTCCGTCCATAGATCGAGAAGACATGAACTGTGGACATAAATCAACATATTTTTTTTATTATTATTTTTTAAAATCGTTGCCCCACACTAGCATTATCTCTGTCGTGGGTGCGTTTACAAACATACAAGTTCACACACACATGACACCCAGACCCGAAACAACAATCTGTGGATCACACAAAGTGTTGTTCCGTGCGGGAATCGAACTCGCGACATGTTGCACGGCAGCCGGTTGCCCAGCCACCGCACCAACCGTGCAGTCATTTTTCAGAACAATGTATTCTACAGAGTACGAATATTTTTTTCATACTTGCGCAAAGATCAATGATTTGCGCAAAATTTTGCGCATCAAAATGTTTACTTACTCTCTAGGCGACTTCAAGCTGAGCGGCGATATAAAATAGAAGTATAGTAATGCTGTTGGAAATCGGAACTTGAAGTCTGGCTTATACCATAGCTCCATGTGTCTATTCTTACGTATTAAGTTAGGTTGGTCCAGTCTGGAGTGAAAGAGAAAGAGTATTAATATTTGTATAGTAGTGAATAGTAAAATAAACTTTATAGCATCAAAGATTAAGGTATATTTTGCATTGTTGAGTTTGTATTATAATTTAAATTCTGTAGATAATAATCGTTAAAACGATCAGGGGTTTCGATTCTAAAATATGCGAACAAAATGTGCTCGAGAGAAATGGAATTAAAAAAAATATTGTGTATTGTGTTGTATTGTCCACTTGTCGATTAAACGGGCCACATAGGAAGAACCTCATCATCAACAGCCTATAAGCGCCCACTGCAGAGCAATGACCCCTTCTCACTGAGGTAGAAAAATCTATGTGAAACTACTTATAAATGTTGACGTTTCAAAAGTACCAAATTATGGTTTAAATGAAATAAATACTTTGTCTTATTTTTACTTTTAAACAAAATGTATATAATAGACACTAACCTGAAGTTATTAACAGTAGCAATAAGATCACCGTGGCTCAAAGTCTTGGTATTTCTATTACTGGCTTCGACTTTTTTATGAATGTCCTTGATAGAGCTGTTTTTAAGGTCTAAGCCCAATTCTTTAGCGGTCTCTAAATACACCGGGTCTGGTTGAACAAGGCTGAAGTTTGTTGTAATGTACACGTTCTTCTCAGGGAGATGGAACTGGGTGTATGGTTCCACTGTCAGCCAACGGTTCAGCCATTTGCTTGGGATTTCTGTGGGAAAACGTATTTCTTATTACTTTACACCTTCGAAGTATAATTGGATGTTTTAAATATGAAACTATCACTGTTATTTATGGACAAGAAAACTGTTTGGTACAAAGTATCTGCACCGACACAAACGAATGGCTTTCATAAAATTGACATACTGACTAAATTCTAGTTTGATTCTAAATGGCTCCATTTCAAAGCAACTTACGATTTTTTTAGTTAAAAATCATACTGAATTATATTATTTTATGAGTGTATACTCATCGCCCCAATTATTGTTAAAAATTTCTAGAAAAACATAAGTAATATGATGAGACGAGTTTAACTTTATACACGCTGACATATTGATGGTTGTTTTCCCGCAGCAGAACGATTTCCCTTTAATAGTACTATCGAATAATGCAAGTTACTTTGTGAAAAAATAATTTTTTTTCTCCTCATATACTCAAAAAAATAATCATCAACTCGAAAGCATGAGAAACGATAGTTTCTCTTCTAAAATGTGACGTCAAATCAATGTTCATAGTAAAATAATCTCTCGGACTAAGTAATACAGCATAAACTGCAATGAACGCGCGCGCGAGCGGATCGCCTCACGACAAACAACAAAGGCAACCACCGCGCTCTCTGTCACTCGCATCGGCCCGCATCGCCTCGCACCGCTTTCATTCACACCAGTCGCACCGCGAACGCCGTCCGCGCAACCACGCAAGCGCAGTACAATATTATTGCCGCCAAAATGGATCGCCATTACGTTTTTTCTAATGTGGAGTACGTAGCTATGGTGCAATTGTACGCGAGGGCGAATTATGATTTTTGGGCTTTTAATAACCCACACGTTATTCGGGAATGTGCGCATCAAGTGCGGTTTAGTGTAAACGTGTGGGCCGGTATAATAAACGGCTGCTTAATTGGTCCGCATTTTGTGACAGGACACTTAACCGGTGAAACGTACCTACAAATGCTACGTAGTGTTATCCCGGACTTACTAGATGACATTCCGTTAGCAGTGCCCATGGATGGCCTGTATTACCAGCACGATGGTTGCCCTGCGCATTATCAGCGCGCCGTGCGAGAGCACCTCGACTCGGTGTTTCCCCAGCGTTGGATCGGTCGTGGCGGGCCAGTGCCATGGCCACCACGAAGCCCGGATCTTACTCCACTAGACTTTTATTTGTGGTCTAATCTCAAACGCCTTGTGTATCGGCAAGAGTACGAAACTCGCGACGCGTTAAAAAGTGCGATAGTGGACGCTTTTGATGTGATTAGACGTGACAGAGACACATTATTAAAATTGAAAGCCAATCAGTTAAAACGTGCACGATTGTGTGTGGAACGCGGTGGCTTACACTTTGAACAATTGCTCCGTTACCGGGAAGTGTAAGTACTTGTACATTTGTAAATAAAACAATAAGATAGGTGATTAAAATCATTGTAAATACGTTGATTCCCATTTTTTAAATACGCCATAAATACTTTCCCAAATTCAGTAATAAACAAGATAATATCTCTTGATTAAATTTTGTTTTATGTTTGTGTTTAGTAAGTGTAGTTAAAAAGTATTTACGACGGTCCTAAGCCCGTTAAAGTATGAAGGGAAAATGGAAATCACTTGTTAGTAAATACTGAGTTATCAGCCTTTTGATAAGCGCGAGCGACAATGACAGCGGCCGGTGGCCGGTCGCGGCGGTACTATTGGTTCGCGGTTTCTTTCAAGTTTCGTGTATCACTATCGTAAAACTGCTATTTTTTTATTTAAATTAAAAACAACTTTCTCAATCTATTGTACTACTAAAATAGAATCATTTTACTGTGGGAAAACAACCATTAAAATATCACGGTGTATAAAACTAGCGGCCCGTCCCGGCTTCGCACGGGGGGACTTAAGATTTTTTACATAGTTTTTCGCGGACTTTTTTAAAAATAATGTTAAGATGAACAATTCATCTATAGAGCATTTTTGTATAACTTTAACTATATGCTCAGCGCACGCCACGGAAGGCTCAGAAACGATACTTTTCCCCCGTTTTTAAAACATTTTTGGTTACTGCTCCACAACTACCTATAGTTGTGGAGCAGTAGCATAGGCTATATAATATCACGCTAGGTTAGGACCTAGCTACTTCTGAATAATGCAGCTTTCTAATGGTGAAAAAATTATTGCAATCGGTCCAGTAGTTTTTGAGTTTATTCATTACAAACATACAAAAATACAAATCTTTCCTCTTTATAATATTAGTATAGATAAAGCTAAGTATCAACCTACTTTCAACTTTACATCTTAAGAAATGAGGTATAAAATTGCTAACTCACCCATTTTCTTGTACTCGGTGCCGAACCATTTCTCCTTGGCGTCGTACTTGATGGGCGTGGAGTGTTTGTTGGACAGGATCATTATGTTCACTGTGTCCGCGCGCATACACTCCAGCAGCTCCGATATACCCTGGGGGTAACGAGGGGGAGGCCATTATTTTTACGTAGGAGAGCCACATTACTGTCTCGGCTGGAGTGATTCCACGGCCACAGAAATATCCGGCATGAAACAACGCCTGTATAGTCTTTTGTTGTGTAAAGTACCAATATACATTTCCGAAAATGTCCACATTTATTTTAAAGCGTTGCTCCACACTAGGTTTTTCTCCTATGTCGTGGTTTGTTTAGAAACATACAAATTCACATACACATGACACCCAGACAATCTGTGGATCACAGAAGGAGTTGCTCAGTGTGGGGATCGAACCCGCGACACGTTGCGCGGCAGCCAGTTGCCCAGTTACCGCACCAACCGTGCAGTCCAAAATCGACATTGGAACCTGTGACACCTCCGGTGTTGTCGATGTCACCAAAGACCATCTCTTGCAAACGTATGCAAATACATGAGACGAAGGATAAAATACACCTCTATTTCTCCGTTGATGTCGTAAGAGCCGACTAGACTCAAAATATTTAATAGAAACTGGACAGTGGTCGCGAGTGTGACTGCCGGGCTAGGGGTCTCGGGTTCGATTCCCGAGTCGGGCAAAGTATTACTGGGTTTTTTATAAATTTTCAGTAGTAGCACAGAGTCTGGAATTGTGCCTGGTATAGGGCAATAGGCTCACCCCCTATTACATGGGACTCATAACATAAATAGTGAAAAGTGGGTGTTACATTGTACAGTGGCAAAATGTACACCTCTGCCTATCCCTTCGGGGATAAAAGGCGTGATGTTATGTTATTGACAGCAGCTATCTCTGATAAACCTGCTTCTTTTAAACTGTGATCTCAAACGCCAGGCATGGAGATTAGTATAAACCCTTCTTTCGTTGCGAAGGCAGAAGGCCCTTAGTTCAGTAGTGGACTCTCACGAGTTGTTGATGTAGTTATTGAAGAATACAATAGAATAATCTTTATTGTACACCATTAATAATATATATAGTACATACAGAAAAGGGAAATAACAAACATAAATAAAAAATTATAATGGGTACAAAGGTGGTCTTATCAGAAAGAAGAAAGCAAGAAAGAAAATATATTTATTCAGCACCAGACACGATGCAGCACAAATAAAATATAAAAAAGACAATAAATGTGTGACAGTGGAAGTAATAAAACATTATCACTTATAGTGATTTCTACCAGACAACCTTTGGGTGGATATAACGCAAAAGAAATATTTAGACGGGTTGTGTACTACAAAAAAAAGAAAGAAAATAATTTTAGTACTTATAATTACTATTGTAAATAATTATAATTATTAGTATTATAATTGAATTAATTAATTAACAGCCTGATGACTGTCAGAAGAAGCGAAAGAGGTATATAGGAATCGTATTGATTGGCGTTCCATAGTCTCTGCCTGTCCCCTTGGGAGACAGGCGTGAAGTTATCTATGTATGTATGTAATTATAAATTACTACTAATAATACGGTAGTTGACAGTTAGTCAAATTCAATACTTTTATTGAAATGTTAAAAACGATACTTTACTATGTATTTTATATTGGATCGCAACTTATGACGTCATCATATGTCTGCGTCAAATAGCCTACTTATTTCCTTAAAATTAGCGAGAAAAAATACAAAAGTAGGTGAATTTTTCAAATAAATGGATAAGAGTATGATTATTTTTTAATTATTTATTGCATTGAAAAGTTGAAACAATTTATTTTAAACCTAAGAAACTAGCCAATTATTATTAAAAAAAAAATGTATGTTACCTTAGGATCATATTTATAGTAGAGTCGGTCCCCTGTGATGAAGTGCTCCGGCGGGTAGAAGTGCATGTTCTCCGACAGTGTCTCCACATACTCCGCCGGCTGAGACTCCTCCTCGAACCGGAAACTTGTCTCTTCTATCGTCTGTTAATATGGAAAACAAACATAAGACAAACACTAATATTATTAAAGCGTAGGTTTGGGTGTAATTTTGTTACTTAATCACGTCAAAACAGCTGAAGTGTTCAAGATAAAATTTAAGACGGGAATAGATTATGGTTTGGATTAACACATTGGATACTTTTCCTATGAGAACATGGCCGAAGCTGTTGGTAGAACCTAGCTTGACTCTTTTAGTACCGTCATTATAGACACAATTAAACTGTCAAACACCAAACGGTCACCGGTGACCGCAACCTATTGTTCTATAATTGTGTCTATAATGACGGTACTCAACGAGTTAAAGAACAATAGGTTGCGGTCACCGGTGTCCTCGCGGTGTTTGACAGTTTAACTAATAAGTAAATGAAAGCAAACCCATTTTTTAACATACTACAGTTCTGGGTAATTTTTTTATAGTGAATCACAAATATTTTAATAAACAGTCTAATATTCACCCTTATTTCATCGTATATTCGTTCCGAAGGTCCAATCTTCTTCAGCATATTTATATATGAGAATATTGCTTCTAGCACCTGTAACCAAACATTAACACATTGTTTTTGTAAACGATATCATAATACGATAACAGATTAATTGAAATATAGACTATTTAAGTGAATAATATTATTTTTCTTACCTCGTCAACATGATCTAATCCTTCCTTAGTGAGCACAACTTGTGTAGAGAATAAACTGTACATCGATGTGTAGTCGATGCCGCTTTCAGAGTTACCCGTGTATATGCCAAGAGCCCACACCCTGGTGAATAAAAAATAAAGGTTTTAAAAACGCAAGTAATAAATAATAACCGTGGTAAAAAAAATACTACATTCGTTTTTAGAAACAATCTTCATGATGCGCAAAATTGTAAAAGATTGCGCAAACATTTTGCGCAAAGTGTGGTACTTAACTGAGACAAAGTAGAATACAATTGCTACCATCCAGACTTTTCCCGCGGGTGCCAGCAGATCAGGCAACAGACATTTCTATAAAACCTGATCCTTTTAAACTGCGATCTCAAAGCTCCTTTCAAAGCGTGAAGATTATAACAAGACACCGTTTTGCCCTTAGTCCAGTAACGGAGCTTCTCGTGAGCTATGGAAATGTTGCTAAAAATTTATTAAATATTGCAATAAATACATACTTTTTCCTAAGGAATGATAGAAGACTGCCCTTCCCTTCGTGTCCGAGCAGGTACGATATGTACTGGTGCGGCTTGGACTCGTATTCCGAGAGCAGCGAGCGCATGCACCATGTTAAATGTACCTGGGCGATAAAATTATGACAAGTTAGTTTTTAGTTAGTATAACATAACATCACGCATTTTATCTCCGAAGCGGTAGGCAGAGGTGCACATTACGGCACTTAATGCCACTGTACAATGTAACACCCACTTTTCACTATATTATGTTATGAGTCCCATGTAATAGGGGGTGAGCCTAATGCCAGATACCGGGCATAATTCCAGACTCCGTGCTAATATTGAAAAAACCCAGTAATACTTTGCCCGACTCGGGAATCGAACCCGAGAAACCTTACTCGGCAGTCGCGCTTACGACCACTCGGCCAACAAGGCAGGACTTTCTTTCTTTTCATTCAAATAACTCATGTATAGAGAAGAAGAATTAGTGAGTAACCCAACAACAGCTTCATGTTATAACATCTCTAATGAAATGAAACAATCAATATTGTAAACTTAACGTAGTAAGATGTTTACGTTCGATTACAGGCCTAATTCTTTTGTTGACAGTATGAGTGCACACATGACAATGGAAATTAGATCAAACATAATATCGTTTGAGACTCTCTTCAATACTACAGTATTTTATTTACAACTGCTGTGCATCTGAATAGTAGCGTAGCATTTGACTATCAAAATTGAACATACATATGGGCTGTGTGTTATTTAGGTTTCGGCGTTAATAAAACTAGTTAGAACCAGTTTACAAATCCCTTAACAGGCCTTGTTTATTTGCATTAGAATTACGCGTATTTTGATATAGGAAATCCGTATGAGTACCTATGTACATGTATATATAGGCATTTCCCCGCCTGCATCAGGATCGGCCAATGCGTGGGTATTTGGGCATATATAATAAGATAAAACACCGAGTCATAATCATCCCTAATCCAAATCTAACTTTATGAAAAATTATAAGATTGCGCGGAACTTTGACGGTTCGTGGGAGATGTCTCGCGCACGCCATTTATAACCGAAGTCTGGGTCAAAAATATGGCGGCGCTGTTGTCGACAAGACGCTCCGTCAGAATGACTTCTGTGGCTAGATGTCATCCTAGTTCCAAAACAAATAATAGACGGCACTGTGGCTACGACGTCATATATATAGAAATGAATCCCTTTTCCCTTGGTCACGCGTGAACGGCTGGACTGATTTCACTAATTCTTTTTTGTTATTATTAGGAGAAGGTTCTTAAGTCAGAAAAAATCCTGAAAATCTGGAGGAACTGGAGAAAACTTGAAAGAAAGATTGCGCGTACGAAGTCGCGAGCAGGAGCTAATTTTGATATAATAACCGTGAATCGAACCTAAAACCACTAGCTCAACAGTTGTAAATCAAATTAAATTATTATAATCTAAAATATAAATACCTCAGTAGTATCTCCAATAGGCTTGACGTAGTAGATGCTTCTGAACTCCGGTGTGACAGTGTCAGGTTTGAAGGTGAACTGACTGAAGTCATCCGACGGCAGTTTGTTGGTGGGAATATGTCCAAACGTGTTCACCACATAGCTTTCTAGGGCTGATAGTTCCATTCGTGCCTGGAGACAATATTGTATTAAGTTATTTTAGGAGTTTTACATAAAGCCCATTGCTTCCAATCCCCAAATCCCTTAAATTCCTAACACCTAAAAAGCCGGCAGCGTACTTGTAATAAGGTAGATGCCTAATTTTTATTTTAATGTCCGTCTGGTAGATTATTTTAAAACATTGGACACGTATTTTTTATTTTCTTACAGAAACAAATACTTTCGACGATATATTGATTTGAAATGTCGCGTGACGTCACTTCTATGCACATTTTATACATAGAAATGACGTTTTAGCCCCCACTCTTAAACTTTGATTCATTTTATCTAAGTATTATTTTATTATACGATAAAATAAAAAAATACGTGTCTACAATTTTTAATTTTCATACCCCGTCATCATCCCTATTACTCTAGTGTTGCGAGTGTCCATAAGCAGCGCTGAATGGTTACCATCAGGCGATGTGTATGCTAGCTAATGTCTATCTCATAACCACCTCTTATTCCCTCTGTAGGTATCTTAAAACCCAATCAATGGACTATACATTTGACAGAGACCAAGCATCAGCACTCTCTGACAAAACTTGGACTTTTTAATCAATGTTCTTTAATCTGCCTCCATGGAGGTTATGGCTAACTCTGTCGAGGAAGCCCTTGCCCCTAGTTCAAGTATGTAATAAGACTTTCTGAGTCCCTGTCTTGACAAAGAGGTGTACACGTCATGCGGCAATGGCAACCCCAACAAATTTTATATTTACCTACTATAATATTGTCTACACTACAGGGTGACTACAATAACCATTTTATTTACAAAACAGTCTGTTTAGAAAATAATATTAGCTTGTGCTAAGACAGCCAATGAGTACTAATATTAAATATTATCAAATTAAACACATAACATTCATGTTGTAAGTCATTAGTCTTTACAGGCTATTGTATTTTTAATTTGTCTACCATAGACAATTAGTTTTGTTATGAACTTCTTGGAGACTTTCTCAGATAATAATGATTCATTATTTAATGTTAGAATGTTTTTATTTAAAAACTTATTACAAGCAAACAGAGAAACAGAAAGATTTAGTTTTATAGCTCCTATAAACAAACAACAAAATTATACGTAGGTATGTAGTTAATACTTAGTGCAGACTCCAGAACTCGTGTGAAAAAAAACAGAAACGGAAGTATAATTCCTAGTTCTACTAACTGAAGAAAGATCTAGCAAACCTGAACAGCGACAGTCATCCGATGCGCACTATAATGTCGTTTCCTGAACGTGTGAGCTGCCTGATGCAGACGCTCATCATCATCTATATCATCCTTCAGACTCCGCAGGTTGCCCCACGTGAACGATCGAGCTGGATGACCTTCGGGAAATAAGCTGGAGAGTAACTGGTCCTTTCTGTTAGAGTCTGATGGTGATGCTATTGCGAATTCTGGAATAAAAGGAATAATGTTATATCTTTATCTGCTATATAAAACTGAAGAATTTGTCCGTTTGAACAATCTCCGGAAAAATGGATCGATTTGAAAAAATCTTTTTGCATTGAATAGTCCTTTTATCGAGTAAAGCTGTTGGATATAAAACATCACATTGTGATCAAAACGAGCCGAGCAGGTGCAACCCCATGATGGTGGAGTTGACATTTATCACCACCCCTCTCTTTCCGCGATTGTCGTAGGCGATGGAAATCCTCATGGACTTCCCACGTCCTGGGGACGACGGAGGGGCGTACAACAGTCTTACTGGCTAAACCTACTGTGGTGTTCCTCCACTACATGTCACCGTGACCCGGGTTGCCTTTACGGAATCACCACACCCGGCAGGCCCTCGACCCACCGCTATGTTCATGGTAGGTTCCACAACGTTAGCGGCCCTGGGAGCCTGCTTCCCTTCTTCGAGTAGCGCGCGTGGGAGGCTACGCTAACGCCTTCTCCCGCCTATACAGCGGACGTCCGACTGCCCCAATCAGTCGACCGCAAGCCTCTCCTATGGAGATCGCAATAACACAGGCTACTTTTATCCCACGGTAATGCGGACGAAGCCGCTGGCAAAAGCTAGTATTCTATAATTTACTACATAATATTTTGAAAATGTCAAGTCATTAACAAATGTATTTAAAAATCACATAATTTATATATTTTTTTAGCACTTTTCCGTGTCTAATAACTCCTTGGTACCTACGTGAAACGTTTAGCAGTAAACGCCTAACTAATCGCATGTCGAATATGACCTTTCTCGTAGCTATTGGATTTATAATAACTTATAAGTATTCTCTGACATTATCGACGCAACCGTTCAAGTGCCAATTTACATAATATTTCATGGGAAGGTATTTAAATAATAAGTTCACTTATCCCATGAACATATGCAAATACAGAGCACCATAATAATATACGCAATGAATAACACCACTATTGTTTTTATCAAAGACTTGATTCTGCAGACTCAATGCTATTGATTGATGAACCTTTCGTGTGTCTAAGATGTGGATACACGCGAGACACAATATATTTTCTATTGTGTCTCAAAAGGTTAAACTGAAAACCACGTGCACCTAAAGGAATAAGGAAAACACTAGTTTTGATTCGTTAAAATAACACACTAGTTTTTATTGGCTCCCATAATAAGGAAGCTGGATGAGAAAACCAAACTATTTATTATTTTTACTGAGGGCCGGAATAAGTAATAGAAAATAAATGGATCAAAAATGAATTAAGTAAAGTAAATGTACAGAAATAGGCAAATTGTTGGGTAACTGTCGTTGGCCGTTAGGCCGGGTCGGGCAAAGTATTACTGAGATTTGTCAGTAGTAGCACGGAGTCTGGAATTGTGCCCGGTATATGGCAATACGCTCACCCCCTATCACATGGGACTCATAACATAAAACGTGAAAAGTGGGTGTTACATTGTACAGTATTACGGTACTTAATACCACTGTACAACTGCCTACCCCTTCGGGGATAAAAGGCGTGACATTATTATGCTGGTTAATGTAAACCTGTTGATGTCATCCACTTAAGCATTACGATTTGGGATGATTGGATTACAATTGTCTGATCACTTAATACGAATGTAAGTAAGTTTATTCTTAAGTAGGATTGCTCAATGACTTTGTTCTCTTGTAAAGTCAAGGAATGGATTAAACTACGGAAGTAAAACGGCTTTTATACTAACCCAATTAAGTAATTCGGATTAACCCATTTGGGACCAAATGTAAACTACACATAATTTAATAAAAAAAACTTTATTAACTCAATGAAATGACGCCCACAAACTAATATCAGCAAAAAAAATTCAAAAAATATATTTAGAAGTATTAAAAAAAATGCCGTCCTTGATTGGGGACAATGGGCTCATGTGTAGTACTTTTCGAAGTAGTAACTGTTTTCGACACATAAGGTTCTAACGCATTATTTGCATTGATATCACAGTTTTTTTATGAAGAATTGCGTGTCGGAACAGATATTAACTAAATCTCTGCGGAAAATGTCTAAATCAATTTGATGTGACGCGCCTGTATTTTTTTTTGCGGGTAAAAATCATGCATTGCGTTTTTCATCTGGGGGCTCTTACTGGCTAAAACCAACACGTTCCTAATTCTGCTTCAAGCCGAAGCCCCGGTGACCCACTAGGTTATTCATAGTGGTCGGGCATCTGTCCTACTGAGCCATCTCGATCTAAGGCGGTCTGATAGCACTTTGAAGCGCGCGCGTAACGCCACGCGCCTTATAGGTTCAGGTCTGGTTCTGGGCGGCGATCTGTTCTTGCTACTATGACTGCTTCGCAGAAAGCGATGGTTTTCCAGTTCCCCCCTCGCTCCGCACCACCAGAACCAAAGCTGGACGTTGAAGATTATCGTCATCGATCACTTCCCGGAGGAGACGGTGGTGCTCAATGTATACAGGGCATAATGCTACTCTATCCTCTGGGTGGACCTCGCTGTGGCGACACCAGAATACAGCTGGAGGAAATGCCCCCTACCGCTGAATTCTGATATCGGATGCGACGCCTGGTACTGTAGATGGAGTTCTGCATCGTCGATCTTGATGCCCATCAGATTTTAAATATGAACGCGTAAAGATAAGACTTGATATAGGATTGGTGATGCTTTTCGTGAATTAGCGTATGTAGTCACCAAGTATTAGCTATAACTAAGTTTAGCCTATAGGTGACCTTTATAAATTGGAAAACAAAATACAAATCAGGTATAAATGTTTTAAAAATAAACTACAGATGTGCCCATTGTCCCCAAACGGGGACATCATAATATTTTCTAACTTTCCCCTAAGCGGAATTGAAAGTATAAGGATATTCTTCAATATTGTTTTAAATGACACTATAAGCAAGCAATAATCACAAAAAAGTTTTATAATTCTTCATAGTAACATACTATAAAACGGCTCTGCTTTCGATAATAATTCCCATTTCACTTCCTCTTGATAAAATTGTCAATATGACCCCCTTTTTGTAGCAATTTGTCAAAACTTCTAATAATTTTAGGAAAGTACACTACTCCTCATAAAAAATACTAATGAAAATTGAAGATAGCTAAAAAAATGAATAACCAGCGGGTAAAAGAAGACCTGTCCCCGTATGGGGACGGCAGATCCAAATGGGTTAAGGGCTGATTTTTCAATCAACAGATAATTTTTATCTATAGAAAATTAATTGACATTCGACTGTTTTTACTGTGGAAGAATTGTCAAATATGTAAAATTATTTCTCCTATATAATTTATCTGGCGTTGGAAAAATCAACTTTTAGACTTGTTCTTTCGTCGATAGACTTGGCATCCCCTCATATGTAGAATAGGGTAGTTTCCTAAATTTTATTTTAATGTCCGTCTGGTACATTCATTTAAAACTTTAGACACGTATTTTATTTATCTCACAAAATTAAATACATTCGACGATATATTAATTTGAAATATCGTGTGACGTCACAGCGTGGCACATTTTGTAGCACGTTATGACGTAACGACCTCCCACTCCTAAACTTAGCGCCATTTTATCTGAGTATTGCAACTTAATACGAGAAAATAAAAAAATACGTGTCTAAAATGTTTTCATTATCTAACGACGGACTAATTAGATTTTTATTTTTGATACCCTGGAAAGTACCCAATTTTGACATATTTTGTTAGAGATTATTACATTTTGTACTCAAGAATTTGTTTGACTATTGTCCAAAAGTATAAACTATTATAGTCCCACTTTTGATAAGTTTTGGAAAGTAGTCTGGCATTCAAGTCATGTCGTGTGTGAATCGATTTTCCATCATTCCTTGTATTGCAAGCTACCTATAATTGTGTAATGAAACTTAGTATTCTACAAACTACCATTAACAGCCATGGAAACGTAGTAACAACAAATGCATTGTCTGGAAATTCTAACAAACATACCTAACTACTTAATAGAGATTATCACCTAGTGAAATTTTTCTTTATTTCACATATAAATACGGTTCAGAATGTTATAATTAATTAGAAATTAAAATAACAATCATGGTGTAAAGTTTTCTTTAGTAGACTAAAATTGAGAAAAAGCTAATTCCAATCTAGAATCACACTTACGACATTATATGAGATGAAACCCAAAATAGATGTTTGTAAATTTCAATTACGTGTTCTTGGCTAATAATGTTACAGTATAGTAATGAGATGCAAAAGCCACAATTCACAAGACACTAGATTTGTTACGAGTCCCAGTAGGAGGAGCCTATTGCCATACATAAGGCACACATCCAGACTCCGTGCCGACTGTTTAATATACAAAATACAATACTACTTTTCCCGACCCAGGAACTGGGCCCGAGATTCCATACTCGATAGTCGTGCTTGTGAGTCAAGTACGTGATCAACGTGCGATATAGTTTCCAATAAGGATCAAGCTCCACCAAATTCGATAACAAATGAGCAAAGAAGAAATGTGTTTTGAAGAACCAATAGAACATAATTAATGCCGGCAACACACTTGTAACGCCTTTGGTGTTCCGGGAGTCTATGTGCGACGCCGATTGCTTACCATCAGGTGGTCCATCTGCGTGTTTGCCTACTTATTCCATAAAAATGCTTTTTAGAATATGAAACTGACCTGACTCAATAGCCTCGCGTTCCCTCTGCATTGCCTCCTTCATCATGAGTGGACTGACGAAGAACTGGCTGAACATATCCATTGCTTTGGGCAGGTGCTTCTCCTGGATCTCGAAGTAGAAGGTGGTCACCTCACAATCCGTCGATGCGTTGTCTGATCCACCTTTTTTCTGTATGACCATAAACTTTGTATAACTATTTTTCTTGACGATACATTAGAAACTATTAAACCATTTGCGGTCGACCATCATTAGGTGATACTCGCATCACCGCATCACGCATGCACTCGGCACGAGCGTGCGATCACAGGGAAAATAGGGCGGTGGATAGAGTTCTTTTTAAGGAGGGAAAGTCTTCGAATGGCCTACTCTGCCCTGGTGAGGCGAAAGGGAGTGTCAGGTTATTACTGACTAAAAACCACCCCGTTCCTAGTCCTGCACTTCGAGCTGGAGCCCCGGCAACCCGTTACGTTCTTCACGGCTCCCTATCGGCATTAGCCCTATTGGGCACTATCTGTGGTGTTTTGATGGCTCTTTGAATTTGTTTAAAAAGTGCACTACCGTAAACTTTGCCGATAGTACGTGTACACCTTTATTTCACAGATGTTAGGTGGTAGTTATACATAACTTAGCTTCCGCCTTTCCGTCTTTGCCTACGATCCCAAGGCTAAAAGTGACCTAGGGTTCGTACCTACTATTATTGGGTTCTACAAAATGCTCGACAATATCATGACATCAAACCTATTGTAACTTTTAACAATCATATTGTTGAATTGCGAAAAATAATAGTTTAATATTTTTGTGATGAAATCTCAAATGTACGTATATTGTATATATGTATATTGCAGGAGATAATGAAGGAAGTCGTGTATTGTTTACAGGTGTAAACAATACACGACTTACAAATAAACAGGTGTTTACCTTCCCAATATTGTGTACCTTAACACGCAAGTATTTCAGACAATATTTACAGAAACATACGTAAGTATTATTTCTATTGTAAACCAGACTTCTTACAAAACAATACATTATTGTTATAAATATTTAATCTTATTTAAGTAGCATAGATTTGTTAGCAAAACATGATTATAATTTTTAGTAACCAAATCCTAGAGAATGATGTTAGATTTTTCAATTACGAAATTATAATTTTATTTCTTGTCTTCGTCATGCGTAATTGTCAAGCATCAAAATCCGTTCAGCAGTTTTTAAGTTAATTGCGAACAGACATACAGACAAGGGAAATGAAATAAATAATAAACGTCGGCCCATCAATTATAAAAAAGGGAATTTGCTTTATTGAGCTCCAATATTCAGTATGAATGCATGTTGTTTCCATGTAAACAATCATGTTTGTTCACATAATTTACACAGGTATAGTGATGTTTACCCGATGACGGCTTAGCTAAAAGAAGGGTTTTAATTTTGTTAGAGATCCTATAGTTAGTGTAACAAACTACGAGTTAGGAATTGTAATCCGGTATCTCTTGTGTTAGCTCAATCTGTCCGGATATCGCCAGATGGGCGCTAATCCGACCGGATACGTTCTGATTGGGTTGACTAGATGTGTAGTGCGTGTGGGTCACAGATTCTGGCCAGGGCACACGCGTCATAAAAATACAACTATAATGGCCTTTTTAAATATTATTGTAAAGTTGAACAATTTTACGGTTCATTTGCATTATTATTTATTATAAAACTAACATTTTCATGGCAATAATTCTTTAATATTAAGTATTTCATTTTTGCTTGACCTTAAGAAATCTAAGTTTCCTGAAATTCTTAATGGATAATTGGATATTATCGACTGAGAATGCACATTAAAACAACCTCTTATTACGAGAAAATGCGCATTTTTAAAGAATTAAACGGATGATCTTAAATCTTATGTTTTATGGTTTTAATCTTACCTTAATAAAGGAGTCGAATTCATTCTCCTTGGGGTATTTCTCGCTGCCCATGAATACCATGTGTTCGACGAAGTGAGCCAACCCCTGTATGTCGGCGGGGTCGCTGTAGCTGCCCACGCCGACGCAGAGCGCGCATGCTGCCTGTCCCAAATCGAAAAGAAACGGTTACTACACTAGATTCTGCAAGATAGATTAATATTTCATGTCGGTTTGAAGATATATAATTACGAATGGATTTATATTTTGAAATAAAATTTGTACATCAATAAGCGTGTTGTGATTTGTATAGTAATTATTTTTTCGTCTGAATCTATATGAGTCGACATAAAAAAAAAATATCTTTAGGGCACAGAGAGTAAACTTCCCTAAGATCGGAAAAGGAGGACCTTCCGACCAGGCGAGGTGATCGTGGCTGGCGGACTTTCTGCTCAACAGTGGGTTGTTGGGATTTTCTATTATATTATTTCTATTATTTCTATATCCGTCTTAATTCGCATAAAAACTTCACTTGTGCAATGTAGGATCGTGACGTGATCCGTTGATTTGTTTTCATCTATGTGCGCGAGCTGTCATTTCGACATGTGACATAAGTCGCCACACGTCCCTTCGAGAAATTGCATATTAGTGTTTCAGTCATTGTATTTTGTTCCTGTTAAAGACGAATCCTCCCCTAACGTTGGTCACCGGTGACGCCCATGTCGTTTAATATGTTAAAAATTAAACTTTCAAAATGAAAGTGTAAAACGATAATCATACATAAATAATTTAACAAATTAAAAGTAACAATTATTGTTACTTTGAGTACCGCCAAAATGAACTGCATCATATAATTTCATTTCGTTAATATTGTATATGTAATTATTCCATTTCTGAGAAAGAGAAAGTGAATGTGGAAGTTTCCGTGAAGATCTGATATCTGTTTACAAAGTTGGATGTAGAAAATACATGCGCTAAGTGCTCTTAACCGACGCGACGACGTATCAAATTGTTTAGATGTCGAATCTAAGTAAATACTTTGTGGTTTACATACTTTAAGACATGGTTTAAATGTACGAATTTGAAAACACCTTGTTTTTTTGTTCTTTAACAATAAAAAATGTGCGTCAGGTGAAATTTTGCACTGTTAAACTAAGGGGACGTCCTTAAATCATGTGAGGTGTTTCTTTTTAATTTTCTGTCCCTCCCTCCCCCCCTGGTGAGATTTCGTGAGATTTAATTCAACACCCTCCCCATCCCCCAATTTTGATTTAGAGATTTTTCAAAATGTTGGTTTTTCACGTAAACGCGTTGGACTGTTATTGCAAAAAGAAAAAAAAGGCTTCGTGCTTGTATTTACGACTAGTTAAGATTAGTAATCAATATTGCTGACTGTTATAAGTGTAATAAAAATGTAACAATAGAATACTATACGTATAAAACAAATCTTGAATGATTAAATGGTCTAAAATAGTTTTTTTTTTCAATCAGGAAAAAGTTACGTGAAATTTGCCAAGACCCCTCCCTCTCCAACGTAAGATTAGATGAGATTTGAGTCTACCCCCTCCCCCCTTCCCTGCGTGGGCTGAGCACCGCCGTGCCCTCAGGGAAGTGATCGGCGATGACAACCTCTCGCGTCCGGGTCTAGTGCAGGTCATGATGCGGAGCGAGGGGACTGGGATGCCGTCTCCTCCTTTTGCGAAGCAGTTATGCTAGCTAAGGAGGAGGCGGGACACGTGAGGCAGCGAAGCGCTGCCTCCTCGCAACCCAGCCATCGCGAAGGACACACCGGGCGTCGGGGATCGCGGGACGATCTCCGGCCACCGTAAGCGCGGGCCTGCGGACGGCGAGCATGGGTGGCTCCCCGTCCGACCAGAAACAGACCCGAGCGTACGGCGCGTCGCGTTCCGCGCGCGCCTCAAAGAGCCATCAGACCACCACAGATGGGGCCCAATAGGGCCGATGCCGATTCGGAGTCGCGGAGAACCTAACGGGTAACCGGGGCTCCGGCTCGACGTGCAGGAGAAGGAACGGGGTGGTTTTTAGTCAGTAAGAGTCTGACACTCCCTCCCGCCTCACCCAGGCGGGGGCAGTCATTCGATGATTTTCCCCCCTTAAAAAAAAAAAAAAAAAAAAAAA